TGAAACATTTTTCTTTATAAAGGTCATTGTTAATTCAAAATAGATAGCTAATGAAAAGTTGGTAATAATTGGGATAAACAAATTGAATAACAGTTATTAAAACTTTGAAAGTCAATTGCGCTGCAGAAGTTTCCATTATAGTTAAATTCGTAGATGTATTAACGTATTGATGATCAAACCAACATTTGGAAAATTTGGAATTTTCTGACTCTGTCTTCATTGTCCATCGATTATTACGCTATACAGTAGTAACTATATCATAATTATATTTCTGTCACTATTCACTTTGTGGCTGTCAAATCTGAAGTGATTTCTCTAACAATCGGATAAATGAACGAATCATTGACTATAATGGTTTATATTTTTATAACTACGTGGGGTAATACTACTATTTGAACAAATGGTACCTACTTTAAGCACAAACCGTGATAACTAGCATTCTCATACAACTTAGTTTATGGTCGTTTCCATATTTGCCACAGTAAAAATATTTTATATAAATAAAATATGAAATTGTTAAGTGATTTACGGGTATGCATATTGTAACGATTCATACAAGACAGCCAGACATCTATTTTAACTCAATAATGGTTCAACTAAACTTTGGATATACCCGACGATAGTTAACTTGAATCAGGCATAAGTAAGGGTGAAGAGGTGGATGGATGAGGTAAGACACTAACTTGATACGTCACCATGTCAATATGATGATAATATGCATAGGTACCACATATTATGCATACGTTTTAAAAATATATTTTTGTAGGTTCTTTATGTCTATGGAAATGCAATGATGTAAATATCATATTTGTAATTCTAATACTATAATAATAACGAAGTACTGACATACATGTGACAATGCGTAGATAATTAACTTATATTAAATTTGTTCTTTGTCTTCCAACAGTTATAACATGTATTTATATTTTGTAATCAAATCAACTGTGCTTCATTCCCGTATTGTCTGTTTCGTTTTGTCAAAATTACGAGATCAAAGTTACTTTTCCACCTTAAGTAGCCAAGAAAATTATTGAATTATGATGTTGGAATATTAGGGTGAATATGTTACAATTCTGTACACACCTATGAAGTGCAAGATAATTTCTGGCTGTGTGAAATATAGTTATCAATTTATACGTAAGATCATTAAACTGCAAGACACCATATACCAGAAACTTATAAGGTSACCTATATATTTCAATACAACTTTTTTTTTTAAATATCAGATATATTTGAACTGAAATAGTTTCAAACATTGAGATATTTATTATATTCTGTAAAGTAAAATACATTAACGTAATTAAAACATAT